TTTTAATTGGTCAATCAATCCTATTAATTTAAGAGTTATCTAATCTTATTGAATAAGATTTTAATTAGAAGATTGGACATCAATTAATTCAAAATTAATTAATTTCATCCTACAACAAAATTCCTTGATTTTAGCCATGCATACCCAACATTTAGGAAGTCAATGATTAGCTAAGAAAACATCCTTCTTGATCATTGAGTGCCCAATTTCTCCAACAAACAACCTATATCCATAAAACGGTTACATCCATGTGTGGTGGCACCATGCACAACCTTTGTCATGAGTGTCATTTCACATGTGAAGAACATTCCTTTAATTTAGATAAGTGCCAACAACTGAAAAATTAATTCATATTCGAAATTTTATCCTTTAATTGAACATTTCAAAATAGGATAATATTATGAAATTTTCAGAATTAATTTTGCTCGATTATATTGGCATTCAAAATTGAATTCCAAGCTATAATTGCTCAATGAATTGTTATCAAACTTACAACAATTAATTGCCTAAATCAACTCATTTGGCCATGAAAATTTTTAGAAATAATCATCATTAAACGTTTTAATAAAGATAATTTTTTTGAAAATTTTCAAAATTAATTTCCAAGAGTTTCTCGTCAATTAAAACTAAAATTCATGCAAAAACAGTGAGTTGGATAGATTTGTATTTGCACCAATTTTCTTGCTTGAAATCAGCATATTTGACCATGATATTTTTCAAAAAGAATCCGTAAATAAACATTTCAAGTAAGAATTTTATTTTGAAATTTTTTGAAATTAATTTCCAAAACTTGTCAATTAAAATTGAAAATCATGTCAAAAACTGTGTGTGCAGGGATAAATTTTAATTTGCTTCGATTTTCTTCCTTAAATTTAGCCAATTTGATCATGCACGTTTCGTGATCTTGCTGTCCACTAATCCACAACTAATGTGGAACAATTCCATAAAATTTGGTTGCTGGAAATTAAGCAAAAATTAGCAAGAAGTACAACACCAACACGCCACCTGAGCATCCATCACCATGAATCCTTTTGAATCCGCTTGAGATTGCAACTTATGTGATTTACATTTGCATTCAAGGATGATTGCAAAACCTCCTCATTAACCAATTTAAGATAAGGAAATTCCAAAATGTGTTGATCAGTTTTTGAAACCAAAGTAAAAGGTTCCAACCAAAACACATGTGCTGTCATTAGACAACACAAAGACTGATTAGTGTTTTGCTCCATTCAAAAGATTTATCTCAAATGGTAATTAATCCCAACCTTTTAAAACTTTAAACATCATTTAAAATAACCTAAACATAATCTAAATTATGATAAAAAATGTCTCTTAATTTTAATAAAACTGAGAAAATTAAAAACACATTCTAGAAATTGGTTTTTCAAAGAGTGATTCTGAATCAAAAAGCAAAATTTTTGAAAATTAATCATCAACATATAAACATGTTAAGACAATGAAAAGCCTTGAAAATAGCTCTAATACCAATGTTGGGATAGGTCAGCTATGCATCACAATGCAATAGGAAATAAAATAATGTAGTGGAACAAATAAAACATACAATATCAACTTTATCCACCCAAGGTCATCTTCGAAAGTCTCTTGATTGTCTTCAAGCATTCATATAGCAAACATATGATCAGAGATCATTACCTTTATGAGTAAAAAAATCTAGATTCCTTATCTAAAACCTTGAACATGCCTTTTGATTGACCTCAAACCTAGCTCGGTTATAGCAAACCAAAGCTATCTAAGAGGTTCTTATATTGTCTCTGAAGAAAGTCCACATGATGATTATGAGAAACCCTACGTTAGGATGAGATTACTAAGCCTTATGATGTGATAGCAAAGTAGTGTTCATAACACTTTCCTCTAAAAAGAAACTTAGGCTGAATAGTTAAGAAGAAAACTGATTTTCTCCTTTGTACTCATTAAGGGTGGCGCATACTAGCCAGTTATTTTTCTTTCTTTTTTTTTTCTCAAAATTAGGCTTATAGCAAGGTTGATATACTTGGATTAATTTCAACCCTAATTAGTTTAGTTACATAACTTTATGTGATTACAAAGCAATTCAATAACTTAATTAAACAATTTTAATTAAGTCTTCAATAACTTATAACTTATTAACCGATAACATCGAAAGCATATATGTTCTTAATAGATTAAGTCTAAAAGCTTATAAGTCTTTGATTGTTTAACTTCAACTTAATCACCTTTTCCAATTTAATATCAATAATCACTTTTTATGTGTGACCTATTAAGCTTCCAGCATCTTAGTAATGAAATTAAATAGTAATCTTAATTAATTTAATTCATGGACCAAGATTGGTATCTAGCAATGCATCATGGCCACTTAAATGTTAAAAGAGTCAAGACGATTTAACTCAACCTTTCAGTGATCAGTCTCTCAGTGTAATTCGTTCCCTTATCCTTTATCTTAAAGATGATAAAAGCATGGTGCAGTGTCTATTCTCATAGATCTCTATATACTTCTTGAGGTTAGATCATTATCTCAATAGAGACTTATGAAACTCTTTTTCATAATCTCCAAATCACCTTAACCAAGGACTTCAATAAGTTAATATCAACTAAGAATTGTTGGGATATGTCTCTTTATTCACTTGGAGTAATAATTCCTATCTTGATCGTTCATTTGCCTTCACATGCTTTATACTATACCCAAAAGAATTCTAATTGAACATTCTTGGTTAGGCATCCGAAGGGATGAAATCAAAGCATAACACTCCACATATAAAACAACTTGATGTCTCAAGTTTAAGGAGTATTTACACGACTATCATGTAAAAAGTATTGTATAGATATTAGAGTCAGATACCAAATGCACTTTTTATGTCGGGTCATATTCAATGAACTTGCTCTTCTAAGGCAAGCACCCATATCCTAGTTCTGAGTATCTCCATACTTCAACCTATAAGATTAGTTGCTTACTTCATCAATGCGGAATATAACATGTGCTGATCTTTGAGAATTATTGATACCCATCTCAATAATAAAATCATTTGGAACTATTTAGAGATTATGCTTTGATGCATAAGGATTTTATAATTGCAACTCATTATATTAATCTTATGAACTCATCCAATTAGACTTATAGCCCATTATAATTGATGTTTTATTGATGAAAGAAAACCTTTAATCAATCAATATAAATAATATTGTTGCATAATTGAAACCAAGCTTGGACCAATCTCAATTGGCTGTAGGGCTTATTTTAATACAAACTTACCTACTTTGAAATACTTATTGACAATATTAATGATTACAAAACTTTAAATTCAAAATCAAAGCAATAATTGTTAACATTGATTGCTTTAATAGATGGTATTATAACTCATGTAATCAATGTGGATCAACATTAAGATTTTATGCTGGCAAATATTGGTGCACAAAATATGAAGAGAAGATACCTCTACCAACATAAGTAAATTGCCAACCATTTACATTTATTATTCCCACTCTGTAATTATGAGCAAGCTTGGTTTAAGATCATTAACTATTCTTTCTATTCTACTTTTCTCATATTAGATATTGCATATAACTTACAATGGAGGATCATATTGCACAAATGGATTTGGTATCTTCAAAAAAGCAGCAAAAAAATTGGTTGGTGCAACCATTATAAAGCTTGTAGTGTTACAAACTATCAACCATATGACATTACCTGGATCGATAAAATCCTTGATCAAGTAAAAAAGGACTTTCACCATAGGTTTAACCACTAAAGCAATAAACATAGGGATTAACAACTACAAAATATTTGACTCTCGAGAACTAACAACCCAAGTGTTGCACAATCTAAGTTTTACTGGTCAACTAAGATCAAAAAGCCCTTCGTTAATGATGCAACAACCAAAAGAACAACTGCCACCATCACCGATCAATAGTCAAGTTGCTAGAAAACTTTTTCTAGAGAGAACACCGAAGAAACAACCCAACACCAGAAAAGAAGGAGAATCACCAACTAAGAAACACAAAACCAAGTAATTAACCTCTTCAAAAACTTAAGAAATAAATACATACTACATTTTCGGTATCAAACCATGCACTTAACTCATTCCCTCAGCCATTGCAATTAAACTTATGATTTGATTTTATAAAACAATTATTTAATGCTATCAACTTTGATGGTTCCCATATACTGTAATTATATGTGCATTGTTTGAATTGTTTCATTTGATGCAACTAAATAAAGTTTAGATTTTTGACAGCTACTACTTTGATGGTTTGGCATTTTATTGTTTACATTATATTTATCTGATTGTTAGTCAAATTTTTTCCTTTTTGTTAACATAATAGCAAATTGATCTTATTCTTTTTATCCCATGTAGGAGATCAGCCCAAACAACCCTCTCATCGAAGAGAAACTCACTTGAAGAGACCTCACCCATTCCTTGATACAAACTGATGTTGTAATTTGACTGGCAAATATCACCCACACTGACTTATATTTTTTGTCTACAACCAGTTTGATAGTTTGAACACTGTTAAAACAACTTTTGTATATAACTACGAGCTCTACCCTAATAGGAAGATGGAAAAGCATATCAATAAACCATGATCTTAATTTTGTTTATAGCAGTTACACTTTCGAAAAGTGAATGAAAATGAATATATGTAAATATAAACAATGATGAATTGCTTTTACAATTTCAACCCAAATCACAAACAAGTATTTTATGTATAAATGAATGTCTACCCATATAAACAACTATGCTAACTCTTTTAATTTGTACTCAAACAATTGACAGCATTTCTGTATATACATTTATATAGAAAATTTATGTAACACTTTCTATTTATGTTTACGTGAGCACAAAGCATGGGGTCAATACTGGTGACATTTAAAGAGAAAAGCCCAACTAAACCCTACTAAGAATTAGGAGCGCTTGGGCTTGGGCCATAGGTCCCAACACTCAAGAGTCAAGAGGCCCGTATCTTAAAGCAGTGCCAGCGCGGCTCCAATCCTTGGGTAGGGTTTCTCTTCCTCCCCAGGGTTTAAGGTCTCTCTCTGTGACTCTGTCTTTCGTTCTCCACTTCGAAGTAACTGCACAAACTCATGGCGAATAACCTGAGAGAAACCGAAGAAACAAACATATTAACCCAGGAAAACCAAGAAGAAGAAGAAGATGATGATGACGATAGTAAGGAACCTTGGACCGAAGAAGAAAATGAAGATGATGATGAAAACGGCGAAGAGTCAGAGTTTCTGTGTTTGTTCTGTGACTCCAAGTACGGTTCTTGCGATGCCCTGTTCGAGCACTGTCGTTTAACTCATTTCTTCGACTTTAATGGAATCAGAAAAGAATTGGGTTTGGATTTTTACGGTTCCTTCAAGCTCATCAATTATGTTCGCTCTCAGGTCAACCGAAACCCCATTTTTAGTTCTTTTTTCTTTCTCTACATTTATACTCTTTTTAAGCAAATATTATTTTTGAACAATTAAAGCTTCGGTTGGTAGTTATTTTTATTATTTATTTTTTTGCTAGGGAAAAATTGCATCTTAATAATAGATAATTTTAAGAATTTGTTGTTTTTTGGAGAATAAAATGCATGACTTTGCTTTGACATATTATAGAATGATAATTATGTTCGAATTGGTGTAATATTTTAGTTCAATCAACCATAGTTTTGCTGTCTATAATTTTCTTTTTTTCATAGTTATTTTTGTTTAGGATATGAAAAACAAATAGCAAAAGCAATATCAACATGATTTTTTATTTTGGGGTTCTATTTCTGTTTGGTAGCTAAGGAAATGTTGCAAACACAAGGAAAATAGAGAAATTGAAGGCTAAATTGATCTGGTTATTACTTTATTCAGGAGATAATCAGTTATTACTGTTTCCAGATGTTTTAAATGTCAGAAAATAGTGAAAATAAAAGACTTGTTTTTTTTTTTTTTTTGAATATAGTTTTCTAGGATTTTAAGTTGAGCAAAAATTTTAAAATGATAAAGAATTGAGTAAAACGGTTTACATCCTCATGCTCTATTATCATTGTCAAAAATGAAAAGGAAAATAGAGGAACCAAATTAAGTGGTTTTCAGATTGGGGTACCAGACAACCTTTTGTGTTTGCAAAGGACTCTGTTTGGCCTGCATCTCTGTACGTTCTCATAATTCTTGAAAGGGTTTGGATGGGAGTATGCAGCGTTAAGAAGTTGCAGCATGCTATAGTTTAGGGGAGTAATGTTTTCTTTTGGTTCACCAGGTAGCAAATAATAGATGTTGGAGTTGTGGGGTCCACTGTCAGTCCAAGCAAGATCTACAGAGTCATTTACATCAATCTGTCAATTCTAAAGATTTTAAGCTTCTTTTGGATGATGACAAATATTTAAATCCTTTCATGCAAGAAGATTCACTTTTATACAGTTTTGGTGGAGATGAAGAAGGTGAAAATGACTACAACACATCATTTGATGAAGAGGAGATTGTGAGGGATTTCGGTAATGTTTGTATTGATGATGATGTTATTGCAGAAGAGATTGAGTTGAATGCTGAGACCTCTAACAAAGATAGAAATAAAGCTGTTATGATTGATTCTAATGGTCATTTGAGCTTGGCAAGTTCTTCGAAGAGGATTGCAGAAAATGGAATGGATTATGGAGAAAGTGTTAGATCATGTGACAGTAATCCAAAGGATAAGCATTCAAGAGTTTATATTGCGGATGTTGTTGAAAAGGATATCAAAAAGGTCAATGAGAGTTATTTTGGGTCGTACAGTTCGTTTGGAATCCATAGGGAGATGATAAGTGACAAGGTATAAAATTTATTCTTGTATTCTGATAATAGTGCTAGAAGGTTTGACTAGCAATTTGATACTCATATCTTTTGGTTCCACAGGTAAGAACTGATGCTTATAGGGAAGCTTTACTGAAAAATCCTTCTCTCCTGAATGGTGCAGTTGTGATGGATGTAGGTTGTGGGACTGGCATACTAAGGTAACATGTTTTATTCAGTTTTCTTTTAAATATTATTTGCTAGAAATGTTTTATTTTATTTGTTCAAATGTAATGTATATATCTTATTTGGTCATGGTGCAATTTGTTTATGCTTTTGTTAATTGTTTAAATCTTGAATCGTACCTCAACTTGTGCCTCTTATTATTTGAGAATCTGTAGATTACCATCATGAAAATCTAAAGGTAAAATGCTTGTATTTTGAGGTTTGTGGTTCATGCATGATCATATAATGGCTTCATGCACATTCCTCCCCTTACTCTTGCCCTGAAGTTCATACATAGGGTACTATGCTTCAGTCTTTGGTATTACTTGGGTCTTTTTTTTTGTCATTTTGAACTACTACTTCCAAAAGGATGTTTGCTGCTACCCAATTTTTGTGTGTATTCTCAAAATTTAGATTGCTGGGCTCGATTATTAGTGTGGTGTTCAGAAATAATGAATATACCCATGTTGCCAGGTTTCTTATTATCAAGTTTTTCCCTCTTGATCAGTCTCTTTGCAGCCCAAGGAGGAGCCTCAAGGGTAATTGCCATTGAAGCTAGCGAGAAGATGTCTACAGTGGCAACTCAGGTGAAATTCTTGAGACTTGTAGTGTTTAAAATGACTTACCTGTGTAGTTTTATTGCTTTTTGGTTTATTGATTATGTTAATGCAGATTGCAAAAGACAATGGCCTTTGGCGGAATAAAACTGACATTGAAGGTAATAACAACTGCACTGGTGTAATTGAAGTGGTTCAGAATATGGTTGAGAATCTTGATAAATCCATACAAATCCAACCTCATAGTGTTGACGTACTAGTAAGTGAATGGATGGGATACTGCCTCCTATATGAGTCCATGCTCAGCTCAGTGCTCTTTGCAAGAGATTGGTGGTTGAAGCCTGGAGGTGCAATACTTCCTGATACAGCAACTATTGTGAGTACTTTGCAATATTTCACTTACTTGTCCGTATAGATTCATAATTGTTGCTTACATTTTTCCTCTTCCACTTCCATTTTAGTTTGTTGCAGGATTTGGAAAGGGTGGTACCAGTCTTCCGTTCTGGGAAAATGTTTATGGCTTCAATATGTCTTCTATTGGAAAGGAAGTTGTTGAAGATGCTGCTAAATTTCCTATTGTTGACATTGTTAATCATCATGATCTAGTAACAAATGCTGCATTACTCCAGGTTAGTGGCTTCAATTGTCTTACTAAATTTCCCATTGTTGACATTGTTAATCATCATGATCTAGTAACAAATGCTGCAGTACTCAGTGGCTTCAATTGTTTTAAGCATGTTCCTCTAAAAATTCATTTGAGAAAGCATACAAGGGTCAATCTAGTTTATGTCAAAATTTGGGGGCAATGATAACCTTTGTATTAGCTTTGTTGATATACCTGTACAAGACATTTGTCTTTTGTTTCTGCAGCTTGGATTTTAGTATTGCTCAGCTGTTGGATGGTCCATAATTAAAAAGCTGTAAATTTGTTTATATATTGCTCTTGGTCCATGATTTTAGATTTTTGTGTCTGCTTATAATCAATCTTGACCTTTAAAGAGGTGAAGCATCCCTCTCCTGCAAAGGCATTATCAACAAATTCTGCTTTAGGTTGTGTTAAGATTATCTATTCTATTGTCTTCAAGGTATAAAAAAGATTTCTAAGATAACAATATGTTTCCCTTAAATATTTATGACAATTTAAGTGGCTGACTTGCTACATGTTCCTGAGATTTATTAGGAGTATATGTCCAAGCTTCTAGAGAGTCGCCCATTCATCTCTTTTGGAAATTTGTCGATTTTTTTGTGGATGGGCCAGGGAGGAAAGCATTTTTTTTTCTTTTACAGTTGAACAATCCAATATTTTCCAAGTTTCTGGCTGAATTACTGTTATGCATGCATAGGTGTGCCAGTGCAGTGTCTGATCATCTTAACTTTCCCCACGTTTGAAAAGGTGTCTCACCTTTCAACCTTTTGTTTCATTTTTATCTGCTCCCGATATCAGTTCTAATATTTCAAAAGTTCTTATTCACTTTTCTACCTGTTTCTTTCTTTCTTTCTTTCATGGAGGCTTGCAGGAAATTTTAAGTGTTATAGGGGCTTGTGTTGAACAATATGCTTTAGCATTGAATTGAAAGTTATATTCAGGTAAAAATGTAGTTATACAGATGGCCAACTAGGAAGACTAAACATCTTGTATTGAAGTTGTTCCTGCTTGACATTATGTTTATCCAATGTTTAATAAGGCTGATTTTAATGTTATCAGTGAATGATATTAAGTAGTTATAAAATTGTTATATGATTAATGAGCATACCAAGGAGTGCTATTCTCGTGTCAGTTAGCAAATAGTATGTGAGTTTCTTATTTCTATATTTGGATAATATATCAATAATGACAAAAAAAAGGAGCTATCATTGGCTCATGTCAGTTTTGTAACCTTTATGGTATTAGCCTAGATTTCAGGAGTATATTCTATTAATTCGGTTGTGACTGACTGTGTTTTACTTCAGAGCTTTGACCTTGCCACTATGAAGCCTGATGAAGTAGATTTCACTGCAATTACTGAGTTGGAAGCAAAGTTGGATAGTCTGGCAAGTAACCGAATTGATTTAAAACAAGCAACCTCTTGTTATGGGATTGTCTTATGGTTTGAGACTGGATTCACCAGCAGGTTCTGTAAAGAAACGCCAACTGTTCTGTCTACATCACCATGTACTCCTAAAACCCACTGGAAACAGACAATCCTCACTTTTCGAGAACCTATAGCAATGGCATCATGCAAGTTCACTGCTGACGGATCTGCAGCTGTTGGAACAGATGCCTGTCCAGCTTCAAAAATTCTTTTGCGCATCAGCATTGCCCGTGCAACACAGCACCGCAGCATTGACATATCCCTTGAAACTGCCGGAGTCGGCCCCAATGGTCAGAAACGCAGTTGGCCAGTGCAGATGTTCAATTTATCGTAGGAATCCATTATGAATGGAAAGGGATGAAATTATTCTAGATGACATTTTCTATTTATAGCCAACACGGTCAAGTTTTGGATGATTGTTTTTCTTTCACTTGGTATCATTAAATCTCTTTTGTTCTCCTAAGCAATTTTTCATCAGTGTCTTTTCAGTTACTGTTTTCTGTTGAAGAGCATAACTTGGCTACCCTTGTATAAATTCAGGCTAATGCTAGTAATATTGCTTCATCAATCTCCTGAAACAGATGAAACATTCTTCTCTTGTTCTCCTCATGTTCCAACTTCAGAATCTTTACATTGGTTGATTTATCATTTCCCTCATTATATCAGGTTCACTTGCATTGTTAGAGCAAGTAAAGCATGTGTCCTCATTTGACAATGTTCCCTTGCTCTTTCTTGCTCAATTTCACCCTAATGTTACAGCCTCAAACACAACAGCATCTTGTTTGTTCATCTGAACAATGACATTGTCCAAATTCGTAGATTTTGCCGAGAGCAGCGACCCGAGATTTCAGTGACCATATTGTTGTTTGCATGACTCAAAACTGATTAAGGCCACAAATGTAAACAGTACTAGGCAATGTCCCCGGCCATGGTGGACTGTGTTAACACGATGTATGGCCCGACATGCACCAAAGTTGGGCAAAGTTTTGGTCCAAAAGGAAGTACAAATCCCAAAAACATGAAGAGACCCAAAAATGGAGGTCTCATAAAAGCCCAGTTGACGAAAACAAACAAAGGCACTTTGACTTAATAGAAGTCCTATCGGAACTCAGAACTACTAGAATAGACCGCAGCAACAAGAAGTATAGATCAGTGGAAATTCCAGTGTTCTGCAAGGGTTTTGAGTTCTCATTCTAACACTCCTTTCCCTTTCTAAACCCCCAAAATCCAAACAGTTATTATTCTCCATTTACTTGTCATGATCCTTTAAAACCAAAACCAAGTAATTTTCTTAAAGCCCCCCAAAATCTGCAGCAAGCAATCATGTCGAGCATCATCGCATCAGATCTACTAAAACCCTTCAAACTCAAAACCAAGCAACAAGAACTCCTGATCCGGGTCTCAATCCTCTGCCTCGTCTACATCTTAGCCTTCATCACCCGTCTCTTCTCCGTCCTCCGGTATGAATCCATGATCCATGAATTCGACCCTTACTTCAATTACCGTACCACCCTTTACCTTACCCAAAATGGCTTCTACGATTTCTGGAACTGGTTCGACTCTGAAAGCTGGTACCCTTTAGGCCGAATCATCGGCGGCACTCTTTATCCTGGCCTCATGGTTACCGCCGCCCTCATTTATCGCCTCCTCCATTTCCTTCGTTTCGCCGTCCATATCCGCGAAGTCTGCGTTTTAACAGCTCCGTTTTTCGCTTCAAATACGACAATCGTTGCTTATTTCTTTGGCAAAGAAATTTGGGATTCCGGCGCTGGGCTTGTTGCTGCAATATTGATTGCTGTTTGTCCCGGTTACATATCCAGGTCCGTGGCCGGTTCTTATGACAATGAAGGAGTTGCCATTTTCGCTTTACTCTTCACGTTTTATTTATTCGTGAAGGCCGTTAATACGGGATCGTTGGCTTGGGGTTTGGCTTCGGCGTTCGGTTACTTTTACATGGTTTCAGCTTGGGGAGGATATGTTTTTATTATTAACTTGATCCCGCTTTATGTGCTGGTGCTTTTGATTACTGGGAGGTATTCCATGAGGTTGTATGTTGCCTATAATTGCATGTATATTTTGGGAATGTTGCTGGCAATGCAGATTCGGTTTGTTGGGTTTCAACATGTACAATCTGGAGAACATATGGCTGCCATGGGCGTCTTCTTCTTGATGCAGGTTTTGCTCATTATTTCAAGCCTTTTTTTTAGTCTCATGTAATGAATTTTTGGTAGGATTATATTAGTCTAAGCATTGGTGCTTGAAAAATTTTGTTTGGCGGGTGGGGGTGGGGTGGTGGTTATATCTGTACTTGTTTATATCAGAGAAAGCATCAACTGAAGAAATAGAATTTGGCGATATATAGTTTGGTCTAGTTTAGTGGGAGTAGAGTTTACTGTCCATGAAGCATTATCAGGTAACATAAAAAGTAACTTTGGTTTTTTATCTTATCAAGGAAACTGTTTTCAAGTGGGAAATTTCTGCTTGGTCTGTTTTCTGCATTTCTGCTTCTGAGGTTATGAGAAATCTGTGTGAAGCAGAAAAAAACTGATTTTGTTTGTACAATGATAAAATGAAATTGGTTTTGCAGAAATTTGTTCAATGAATCTATCTGTCCCAGTGTTGAGCTGGTAGTAGAAAGTTGCATTAATCATCATTTTGACTACTTGTGCAGGTTTTCTACTTCTTAGATTGGGTGAAGCACATGCTTAGTGACACAAAATTGTTTCAAGCTTTTTTGAAGATCACTGTGACCTTTGCAGTAGCTGTGGGAGCTGTTGCTTTGGGAGTGGGCATGGTATCTGGCTATATTTCACCATGGACAGGAAGATTTTACTCTTTGCTGGATCCAACATATGCCAAGGATCACATCCCCATCATTGCATCTGTCTCTGAGCATCAGCCGACAGCTTGGTCATCTTTCATGTTTGATTTCCACATTCTACTCTTCCTTTTCCCAGCTGGTCTTTACTTCTGCTTCAAGCGGTTATCAGATGCCACTATATTTATTGTCATGTATGGTCTCACAAGCATGTATTTTGCTGGTGTTATGGTTCGGTTGATTCTTGTTGCTACACCTGCAGTTTGCCTTATTAGTGCTATCGCTGTTTCTGCCACTGTAAAGAATTTGGCTGTGCTGTTGAGGTCAAAGAACAAGGTTGTCCAGACTGGTTCAACTAAAGGAACTAGCAGCGGAAAGGCCTCCTCTAAGGTGACCCCTCCCTGCCATTCTCTCTCTGTATCTGTCTTCCCTTCCTCTGATTTTTTGCTTGTCTGTCTCTTTTTATGCACACAGAATTAAGTATTGCTTTAATATACTGTTGGTATGATCTCTCTCTCAGTTGTTTGACGTGAATGTGCTTGCAATTTTTTGAGAATTGAGCTGATGCTACTGAAATAACAATGCTAGTGGTCCTTTGCCAAAGAAAAAATAGAATCAGAACATATGTTTAGTTTATGAGCTCAATTGAAGCATTTAGTTTCATTGTTTTGATGATAATATGGTTTCCAGATGCACACATGTTTTTGTTTTCTCATCACAAGTTAGTTATTTGTTTATTGCTGCTATTTCTAATGTTCGCTTTGTCTTTATGACTGTTTCTTCCGCTAACTTAGGAAGCAAAACAAAAAATTTATTAACACTTCTGAAGATCTAAAGGTTTTGTATCAGTTAAAACTTCTGTTGTTCTTATATTTCCCATGACCAAAGGAGTTAGTGTTGTAAATACTGGTGTTTAATTTGTTAGCATGCTTAATCTCATCCATAGCTTCCATAGATCCTTTTTGATAGCATAGATTTATTGGGAATAAAAGGCATGACTGTTCTTTTAGTGCTTCTTTATAGCTAGTTCAAAAGTAACATAGAAGTATCTTCTGCCATGGGCCTTTATTATGTCTATAAGGTATAAAGATATTCCTATACATGTGATCTAGGAGTTGCATCGCAGGTGTTTTAATAGTTTTTGTTTCCAGCCATAATATTAGGGTTCTTTTTGGTTTGTTTGCTCAAGAAATAACCAATCTTGTTTATTCCAAATAGGCTTCACTTGATCAATCCCAGCCTTTCCAGAAAAATGGTGCTATGGCATTGCTCTTTGGTGCTTTTTTCTTGCTCAGTAAGTATGCTACCCACTGTACATGGGTCACTTCAGAGGCATACTCATCTCCTTCAATTGTTTTGGCTGCAAGAGGTGCCCATGGGAATAGAGTTATCTTTGATGATTATCGTGAGGCATACTTTTGGCTTCGACAAAATACTCCTCCAGATGCTAAGGTGATGTCTTGGTGGGATTATGGGTATCAAATCACTGCCATGGGAAACAGAACTGTTATTGTTGACAACAACACTTGGAATAATACACATATTGCTACTGTTGGGCGTGCAATGTCATCTTATGAAGATGAGGCATATGAGATAATGAGATCACTCGATGTGGATTATGTATTAGTTGTCTTTGGAGGTGTTACTGGTTATTCTTCTGATGATATTAACAAGTAAGACTGGAAATCACTCTATCGTATTTTATTATTTATTTTTTGTGTCTGTGCAACACATCAGGCATTGTGTAAAAGATGCCTTGACTGGTTAATTGTTCTTGGTTCTTTGCTTGAATCATGAAAACTCATGCTGTTCATAGTTTGATAGCTGGATTGGTGGGTGTAGTCTGATTGACTGGTTAACACTGGTCTGTACTTTAAATTATGACAACCAAGGCTGGATCTCTCTCTCTCTCTGTTTCTCGTACTCAATTCCTCACACTCTCTTATTAATTTTGTGTGTAAGTATGGTGTGCAAACCATAAGACATTGTATGAAAATATGCCTTGAGTGGTTAATGATTATTGGTTCTCTACTACTAATGCTTTTGTACTTCGATAGGTGGATGTAATTAATCATTCTTGTCTCATCACTACTGTTCCCTTCCTCACTTTTACATGTAAACATCACCCCCACCTACCCAATATGAGCAGTAAAGGAAAAATGAAAATGGAATGGAGAATCATATTTGTTTTCAGTGTATATAAGTGGCTTTCTATGATCTAGCATTTTGAAATAATTTTCAATAGCCTATTGTCAAGACAATTTCACCTAGCGGATTTTCTCCAATATGTGCACAATTGTCTATAGTCTTCCTGGCACAGTCACCATAATCTTTTGTTTTTGGTCTCCCCACTTCCCATTTTCTTCTGTCTTGAATTTGTAAAGTGCCATTATTGTATTCTAATTACATTTTATTGTGAAATAGGTTTTTGTGGATGGTGAGAATTGGAGGTGGAGTATTCCCTGTAATCAAGGAACCTGATTACCTTGTTAATGGTGAATATCGTGTTGACAAAGGTGCAGCTCCTAAAATGTTGAATTGCCTCATGTAAGTTCTGGAAGTTATTATTTCTCTCTCTTTTGGTACTTATTTATTCTCTGACTCTCTAAAGCTTTTTGGTGTTGTAAAATCATGTTTATATTTATTTATTTCTGTGGTTAGGTACAAGCTATCTTACTATCGATTTGGAGAGCTGTTAACTGAATATGGCAAACCTCCTGGGTAAGTTGCCCCTCTTGTCCACTTTATCTTTCCAAGTTG